AGTCAAAACGTTGACTACGGAGGACGTGATGTATTTTTATTGTAGAGATATGAAATTGTTATTTCCACTCGTCTAATTTTAATATTTCGGGTTATACTATTATTGTTATTATATTTAAAAAAATTGTAAATTTAAATATTTATAATGTAAGGATCGAATTAAAAAATTATATAGAAAAAATCAAAATTTGAACATTACATTACAAATGATAATCCTTGAAAGTTGAAAACATGTAACGTCTGTATGCATGATTTTTATATGGGATAGACTTCACAAATTTTAAAAAATATGAATTTATAAAATTCTATGTAGGATAAAAATTAAAAAATTAATAATTTTTTAAATATATGATAATTTTAAAATTTTAGAGGAGATGAGTGTCTCCACCTCTTGGTCTATCCGGTTGATGATTGAGATAAAAAGGTAATTTTAAATGGTTTATTCTCTCTACCGAACGAAATTTTGTAGTGGTAGAAATATAAAGAAAAGGGAAAATGTTAAAAAAAGATGATGAACAATGAATGTGAGATTCTAAATCTTTTGTCTCAATTTAATTTTTGTGTGTATATAAATACAGGGTTATGATCCAATTATATAGAGTCATTTTGGTGCAACTTATGAAAAATGATTTTAAAATACTGTAGAAACGAACTTTTAAAAGTGATATACAAAAGTATGGTTTAAAATTTAATTGTTTGGGATTGTTGTTAAAAAATGAGTTTCAAAAGATAAAATATTCATTATAAACATTGCAATACCCTAAATCAGTACGACACACAGTCTACTGATACCGGGTGTCACACGGAACCACTGAAGTGGCTGACTAAACTTTTTCTCACTTTAGAACAACTATTGTAATAATAAAAATCAACCGTTTTGAAATAGAAAATCTTACGTAAAACATAATTGAAACTTTTAAACTGGAGAGCTCTCTAAATAAAGCATTTTAATAATTAAAAATATTACAAACTGACTCTTAAACTGACTTTACAACTGGGTTTATGACTATACATGCACTTCAATAACTTCAAACATACTCTACTCTGCACTGTATTTGTACCTCAGTCTCTCTAAGGCTCATCGAACTGGTCAACCTACTAACCTGCCAACGGAAACATCCAAAGGCTGAGCTAACTAACTCAGTACCACACTAACAACTAGGTCATACTAAAAGTGCATCATAGAACTACATCAAGCTTCTCAATCAATAGTGAATATACTCGTTATATTCACTCTCTACTTTAATGGTAGACATCATGGTGCAGCTGAGGGATCTCTTCATCTTGGAGCTCACACACCCTTCTAGTTTACCGAGGATAGGACCCCCAGAATTCTGCATCAGACACCATACCTCTGACTAACTCACCTCTTGAAAATGTCAGGCCTCGGCCTTAGTTAGTCGATTTTAAGGGCCTTGTGCCCTACCTAAGGATATATTCGGACTACATCTATACTTTCGACACCATAAACTAGAGAAACTCGGGTGTCCGAATCGTTTCCCGAGCATCAATCAAGCCTAGTTTTATTTGATCCTAAGTATTCTCGTTTCTACGTTTGAATTAAACATTAATATTGTTCTCACTTGTAGTCTTATTTGGGAGTAATTATAGAATTCTTTGGGAAAACCTCACTTGCCTCTATAATTCTCCTTGCTTAAAAGCCAAAAACATACCCTTAGTATCGATTCTGACCCTACAATATAGATACCCACTCTGCAGTATCGATACCATATCTAAGGTATCGATACCCTATCTAAGGTATCGATACCCCTATAGCTATTTCATCCATTGCAACCCAACTTTAAACACATTTTCTAGTGTTTTACACCTATTCGGTCCCATTTATGGTCATAATATGGGTCTAGGGTCTATCGGGCAACGTTTTAGGCCATTTTTTACATTTTGGGCAGGGGTTTCGAAACCTCTGAGGGGGTTTCGAAACCTTACTGGAAAAATGTCATTCTGAACAAGGGGTTTCGAAACCAGCCCAGGGGTTTCAAAACCTTTCCCTACGTGGCACCAGCTCGGACAGAACCCTGCGAAGGCGCGGTTGACGATTCTCGCTTTATTGTCACCGTGTCAGAAAGGGTGCTAGATCGGTAATATTAGGGGAGAGGGTGTCTGACAGATAATTATTGGGTCTAAGGGTGATATTTCGATATAAACGCCTTATAAAACTTAATTTTTATAGAGATTTCTCGACCGTTGATGAAAAATTTAAATACTGAAATTTATTTATTCATATTCAAATATTACCCTTCATTTTAAGAGATCTTTTTGAAACGGATCAAAACTAATAGTTTATGTATCAAGTGTGTTAAGTTTCTAACGACGGAAATACTAAAATGAAATGAAAACTAAAAGTTACGTATGATCTTGAACAAATTCAAAACTTTAGGTACTAAAAAGTAAAATGGACTAAAACTAATAATTTAGATATTAAATGCGTAGTTTACCTAATTATTAATTGAATTAATGAGATAAAGTGTTTAATTTTTTAAAAAAATAATAATTTAAATGATAATATTGTGAATGGAGAAATTGATGGCATTAAATAAAAAAGATCAGTATTTAAAATAATAAAAACAAGAGAAAATCAAATAAAAATATCATTTATTATTATTATTATTAGTATTATTATTATTATTATTATTATTATTTGTGTTTATTCTATTGGGGCCTTGTGGGTATAATTCAAAGATTGGGACAATGCCAAGGACAGGCAACCTTACATTTTTAATGAAATGTTATTGCATATAAATAAAAGGTAATGTGTTCATGAATCAATAACATCATATTGATTTTAATTAATAATTATAAAACAATTATTCCACATATAATTGGGAAAATATAGTTTTATTATATAAATTTAATTTTTTATGTAAATATTTTGAAAAATTATATTATGTTTTATATTGTTCAAAAATTGTTAATTCTTATTATTCTATCCTATCTTATATTGTATAGAGTTTTGGTGGGTGAGAATCTTGCGGTATCTTTTCTTGGCTTAAATATATATTTAGCCCCTAAAGTTGGACAATTTTCTTGCGTCAGTCACTAGAAGATTTTCTTTTATCGAAAAATAGAATATGAGTTAAAATGATATTTTAGTAAATATTGGGGACTAATTTTGATATTATACCTAAATCTTTCCAGTATTTGAATTATTTTTAATAATTTATTGTAAATTTTAACTTTAATTGATTGAGTATTTATTAATATACTTTAGGATAATGTACACAAATGATCCCATAACAATAGAGTATCATTTTATTAAGTTTATTGGCTATTAAAAGTTATAAAACAATCCTTCAACTATAGAATATTGCTTTGTTAAGTCATGACTATTAAAAGTTACAAGTTGGTCACCCAACTATTGATTATGTTCCAAGCTCGTCCTTCTCCGTTAGAAAAATCGGTGATTATCTAAGTTAGATGTTAACATAATGACATAGATATGATGGTCTTTGAGATTCTAGGATTATATTTTATCACACCACAATTAACAGATTAACGTTTAACTTGGAATACTGTTATCTTATTAACAGAGAATGTCAAGTTTATAAAATAATGAATAGTCAGGTGATCATTCTATAACTTTTAATAGTCGAGGGGCTCGGGAAAGCAATACTTTATAATTAAAGGACTATTTTGTAACTTTTAATAATCAATAAACTTAATAAAATAAGAGACCATTTATATAATTTACTCTATATTTTCACGAAAAATGAAGTTTAAATTAATGGTTAAGTTAAAATACTTGCACGTGTATTGTTTTTATTAATGTAAAATAATATTGTCAATTTACGCGGAATAAATTAACTCATAGTCCACATTGAAACATGCCACCCTACCACCAAGGATCATGACATCCCATCAATACTCATTTTTATCTATTCTTCGAAATTTTAATAATATAATTGAGGCGAATTAAATTAAAATTTAAGGGTAAAGTATAGAAATGGTCCCGTTATTATAGGATATTATTATATTAAGTCTCTTGATTATTAAAAGTTACAAAATGCTCCTCTAACTACATAGTGTTGCTTTTTTAAGTCCTTCAACTATTAAACGTTACGAAATGGTCCCCCGACTATTCATTATGTTCCAAACTCATCATTTTCCTTTAAAAAGTTGGCGATTGTCTAAGCTGGACGTTAACATGATGATTGAGATATGATAGTTGTTTGAGATTCCGAGATCAGATTTTATCATATTACAATCTGTAGGTTAAAGCTCAGAATACCGCTAATTTTTTTTTAACTAAAATGACGAGTTTGGAACACAATGAATAGTCATGTGACAATTTTGTAACTTTTAATAGTCGATGAACTCAATAAAACAACACTCTGTAGTCGAAGGATGATTTTGTAACTTTTAATAGTTGAAAGACTTAATAAAATAGTACTCTATAATTAAGAAACCATTTGTGTATTTTACCCTAAATTTAATCATTTTTTAAATTTATTATATATTTTCTGTAAATCATATCCTGTTAGCGTCATCTGATTATTGAAATCTTGAAGTTTCTTAATCATCGTATTTCATTTAGTAATTATAATATTTTGACATAACCACCGATAAATTTACATAATCCGTTAAAGATTAATATATAAATCACAATAAAAAGTTGACAATGATTTATAGATCTAAATTTAATATTATATATATATATATATTAAGTTTTATTAGGAGGACCAATTTGAACATTCTTAGAATTAATATGAACTTAGAAATTATTTACACATATTTTATTCAATGTATTTAAATTGTAAAATTTAACTGCAATTCAAAAAATCAATTAATTTTTAAAATAAGAATTTTAAATATGAACACGAAAAAAATATAAAATTACGATACTGCCACCACCGTATATACATTATACCGTACGTAACGAAGTACCGAACCAAACGGCACAAATAATAATAATAATAAAATCAGTGGATCAAAATTGATTTCAAATACACAAAAAGGAAATTGAAAAAAAAAATGTATTTTATATTTTCATTCACCACCGATCTTTTCATTGCTCCTCTTCCTCTATCATTTCTGTATTTTCTTGAGATCCAAAAGAAACCCATTTGAGCTCTCTCCTTTTGCTTCCATCTCCCCCAGATCTTGCAGATTCTCATTAGACACAGAATTCAGGAACTTCTCAAACCTTTTGATATAAAAGAAGGAAAAAGAAGAAAAAGAACCAGTTTGTTTTGCGTGGTTTTGGTGATTAAAAGTAGGTCTAGGTGTGGGGTTGTTGAATGCGGTTGAATTTCTCTTCCTAGTCTGCTTTTTTGTTTGGTTACCGAGAAAATTTCCTGTTTCTGGGTCTTTTGGCTTTTTAAGTGAAAGGAGAGCTAGAGGGAAGAAAGAAGAGATCTTTTTGGGTGTTTTCTTAAATTGGGTTGAAGGAAAGATGCAACAAAATCAGTTGAAGAAGGTTTGTTTCCTTTTTCTTTTTCCTTTTGGGGTGTATAATTTGTTATGAAAAAAAAAAACTAAAAGCTTTAGAATTTTAGGAATTTTAAGATCTGGGTTTTATCGACATGGGAATTTTGAGGAGGTTCTGCTTTTCTTGATATCTTGTTGGAAGGGATTCTACTTAGGTTTCAGGTTATTCAATCAATTTAAAATTTCTAAAATGTTAAAATTTAGTTATGCATTTGTAGCTTTAATGGTGTTTTACATGGATGATCATGGTTATCGGGATTTTCATCTCATTGCATTACATGGAGTGCTTAATGTTGTAAATGATCATTGAATATTATTCTGTTTCCACCGATTCGGTTTCGTATAAGCACTTTGTTCCCTCTTTTATAGAATGGTAGAGATGGTTACTGATATTGTTGGATTGTTTTCAATCTGCTACTTTTTAATTGGCTTATGGTGAAACATGCCTGGTTCTGATCTAGTTTCTGGTTCGTTTGTTTCAGGAGCTGAAAGAGCTGGACTTTTTTACTGAATACGGGGACGCTAACAGGTACAAAATTCTTGAAGTCATTGGTAAGGGAAGCTATGGAGTAGTTTGTGCAGCGCTCGACACACATACCGGGGAGAAAGTGGCGATAAAGAAAATACAGGATGTATTCGAGCACATGTCCGATGCAATTAGGATTTTGCGTGAAGTAAAGCTTCTTAGACTTCTTAGACATCCGGACGTAGTTGAAATCAAACGTATAATGTTGCCACCATCAAAGAGGGAGTTCAAGGACTTGTTTGTAGTTTTTGAGCTCATGGAGTCGGATCTTCACCAAGTCATCAAAGCAAATGATGACCTAACGCAAGAACATCACCAGTTTTTCCTTTACCAAATGCTCCGTGCAATGAAATATATGCATACGGGTAAAGTACTTTTGGCTTGATAGTCGCAAGATTTTATATTGATTGTGGTAGTAAGAGTGCATATTTATACTGATTTCTAAGTTATTGGTTTCAGCCAATGTGTACCATCGTGACCTTAAACCGAAGAATATACTGGCTAATGCAAATTGCAAGCTTAAAGTTTGTGACTTTGGGCTAGCTAGAGTTGCTTTTAGTGACACCCCAGTGACAGTCTTCTGGACGGTATGCAGTTCTCTTCTTTTTTCATGCGACATTTTTTCTTCTTCTCAAAGAAGAGCGGATACGCATACTTATATGTATTTATGCGTATATATTGTTTTCTGATTCCCCTTGCAGGATTATGTTGCTACACGATGGTATAGGGCTCCAGAGCTTTGTGGATCTTTCTTTTCCAAGGTAGGGCTTTTCCATCTTGTGTGGCCTTTAGTTTAATACGGTGAAGCATGTCTCGTTTAGGTCACGACTCACTTAGAAAACAGCTTGTTTATCTGCAGTACACACCAGCCATTGATATTTGGGGCATTGGCTGTATCTTCGCCGAGGTATTGATCGGGAAGCCCCTATTTCCTGGAAAAACTGTCGTTCATCAGTTGGAATTGATAACTGATCTTGTAGGGACACCTTCATCAGAAACAATTGCCGGGGTACGACATCTTGCTTTTTCTCCTTTTTGTTGTGTGCATGTGTGTGTGTGTGTTTTGGTGCGAATTGGTGATTTTGGTTCACATAAGCGCAGGTTCGAAATGACAAAGCGAGAAAATACTTGTCTGAAATGCGGAAAAAACGTCCTGTGCTGTTTTCACAAAAATTTCCAAATGCAGATCCGTTAGCAGTACGGTTATTGCAGAAGCTATTAGCATTCGATCCCAAGGACAGGCCAACTGCTGAGGAGGTGGATTTCTCGTTTTTCTTTCCGGCCAATAGTAAACAAAACTTTCTTTTCATTTCATTTCATCGCACTGAAACTTTCTGTATTAACTTAATAGGCTTTAGCCGATCCTTACTTCAAAGGGTTGGCTAAAATCGAGAGGGAACCTTCTTGTCAACCAATCTCGAAAATAGAGTTCGAGTTTGAGAGGCGACGGGTGACAAAGGATGACGTTAGGGAATTAATTTACAGGGAGGCACTAGAATATCACCCTCAGCTGCTCAAGGACTATCTAAATGGACATGAAGGAGCCAATTTTCTTTATCCTAGGTTCGAATACTTTCTAATTATGTAATACATTAAACGTAAATGTTAATCTTCATATCTTGTATTTCCGTTTTTATCTTAATCCGCTCGATTATAACATAATTTCGTTATTACAGCCCCGTTGGTCAATTCAAAAAGCAGTTCGCATATCTTGAGGAAAACGGTGGTAAAAGTGCACCGGTCTTCCCTCCGGAGAGGAAGCATGTGTCCCTCCCAAGGTATTACATGTTCCCCACTACTCGGTTTCTCTGGTTGAATGATATATGGACTCGAAAGAAAATGGCACCTTTTCTCCCCTCGGCGAGTTGCAATTTTACAACTTCAATTCTGTTTGTTTCAGGTCTACGGTTCACTCGGATTCTACCCCTCCAAATACACAGTCAACTTCGGTTTTGTGTGAGAATCGGAAAGATATAGAAGTTGATTCCAAAAAAGTAGCGAATGCGATTACTGGTCCGAGGCCAACACGCCCTCCTCCCAGGGTGCCATCGGGTATGAGTGATTTCTTTATGCTGTTACTCGGTTTCCTTTTGTTGTTTCGCCATTTAATCGAGGAGTTCATCCTCCTCTCTGTACAGCGAAGCCTGGGAGAGTTGTCGGATCGGTCGTACCGTGCGATGATGGGAAAAACGTTAAAGACGGTAACGATGCTAAGAACTTCTACAGAAACACAGTCCTTCCTCCACAGAATTTCTCCCCACATTGTTTCCACATAAATCAAGAGAAACCAGGAATATGTACCGACAAGAAACCGCAAGCCAAACCGCTACCGCAGTTTAGCACGGCGGGAAAACCTGCGACGGGAACAGCTTTCGATAAGAACAGCAACCCCTATCACCGATCTCAGGCCAAGACTGAGCAAAGACTACCCATCGATGCGAAACTCCTGCAGGCACAAACCCAGTTCGGTGCAGCCGTCGCCATAGCGGCCCACCGAAATGTAGGGACGGTTCAATTCGGATAAACACGAAACGGGTCTATATCGCCCGATCGGTCTAGTTAGCCGAGTGTTCATTTGTGAAGGGGAGGGTCTCTGGTGTTTGCTAGATAGTTTCCCGTTTATCTAATTTATGTCCTGTAATTAGCATGTGTTGTATCATTGAATTTCTATCAGTGGAATAAAGTTGTTTCCTTTTTCGTAGGAATTTCAAAATTCAAGCTTGAAGATGATTCCTTAACCAGACTTCAATGGCACAATTATAATATTATTATGGCACGTGCAAAACATGGACAACCATTACCTAACACGTTTAAAACAAGCTAAATGATTCGTAGGATTAACATAAAAATGATGTCATAAAATGGTTAATTATTGATGTTTTCTTTGAGGTGGGTTAGGCTTGAAGATGGCTTTCCTGGTAGATGGGTTTGGTGAGAAATTATTATAAAGACAGAATTAAATAAACTAAATATTAAAATTAATATTATCTTTTGTTAATTTAAGGAATTGCCCGTCCAGCTCAGTTGGTAGAGCGTAAGGCTCTTAACCTTGTGGTCGTGAGATTGAGTCTCACGGTAGGCAATTTATAATTGCCGGATGTCTTCTACGAAAGTTGCTCTCATCCTAGCGTTGGGGGCAACCTACTACCCTACCTCTTCTTACCTCATTATATATAGGAATAAGATCAGCTAATTTTTTTTGTTAATTTAAGCTTGTGTTTGCACTCGGTTTAAGCTCATGTTGATTTTAAAAATTATGAACAGTTAAAATCGTATATTTTTTTAAAAATAGTGTTGTTGGTTTCATATTTTATCAAAATATCGAATTGGATCGAACCAAACTGAATCTAATACCCCCTAATGTATGTTTATGTTTCAATTTGTATTTTAATATTTAGATATTATTTTAACCACTGAGTTCGTTTGTTCGTACATTATCCTTACTTAAAATTAAATACCTCTCTAGAATAATATCGGTATTAGATTATAGAATATTGTTTTATTAAGTGTCTGACTAGTAAAAGTCACAAAATGGTCCCCCATTATAGGGTGTTGATTTGTTGAATTATTCGATTATTAAAAGTTACAAAATGGTCACTCGATTATTCATTAAGTTCCAAATTTGTTTTTTTTTGTTAAAAATTTAACAGTAATCTGAGCTAAATGTTAACATGCTGACTGAGATATGATAATCGTTTGAGATTATAAAATCAAATTTTATCATATCTCAGTCAGCAGGTTAACATTCAATTCAGGTTGTTGTCAAACTTTTAACGGAATCGGACGAGTTTGTAACATAGTGAGTAGCCGGGTGATCGTTTTGTAACTTTGAATAGTCGAGAGACTCAAAAGCAACACTCTAATTGAGGGACCATTTTATAACTTTTATTTGTCAAAACTCAATAAAACAATATAATATAATCAGAGGACCATTTGTTAAGCGAGTTTGCTTATTTCAATTTTTTAAAATCAAATTTGAGTTATAAAAGTGAATCTCGATCGAACCTAGACCAAATTTGATATAGTTTAAAGTTTTTATTTCGAGTTCGATTCGATTACCCGATTATATGTTTTACACAACCTTGGTTATGTAAGGGACCTTCTCTATTTTTTCTACTCAACTAGCTGTGACAGAAAAGTTTTTCCAGGAACGTAATTGAAGCTGTTTTTTCCCTCCAGTCTTGCACAAATTATTCTATTAGATCTCACATTTCGAAACAAAAATAAAGGGTTGCTTTGTTGAGTCCCCGACTATTAAAAGTTATGAAATGGTTCCTTAATTATAGAACATTGCTTTGTCGAGTCATCCGGCTATTAAAAATTACAAAATAGGCACACGACCAGTCATATGTTCTAAAATCGTAATTTTTTGTTAAGAAAAAATAGTGACAGTCTGAACTGGATGTTAGCATGCTGACTGTGATATGATAAAATATGATCTCAAAATCTCTTTCATATCTCAATCAATAAGTTAACGTACAACTAAGATCATCATCAATTTCTTAACGAAAAAAGATTAACGAAAAGTGCATTTAATGAAATAGTTTTCTCGGCTAACAATATATATCATATATAAAGATCGTAGCGTAGTGAGTTGGGAGTTCCCTCCCACATCGTTCTAAGCGTGGATCACTTTCATCCAACTTTTTCCATTATTTTCGTATCCGTAATAGTGCGAAAGGAAAGCCTGGCTCCAAGTTGTTCAAGAATGGTGGCGTTGTTGAGTTTCTCGATCCTTTGACTTAGGATCAGTCAGTTCTATTCCTTGATAGAGGTAGGAAATTTTGAACATATATGAATAATCGTATGACTATTTTATAGCTTTTAATAGTCGAAAGACTTAACAAAATAACATTCTATAGTTGAGATACCATTTGTATACTTTACATAATATACCTCATGGTCCAAAACAATCTATTATTTTTCAACTATCATAACCCTTCATTTTTCTTAGGGTGACATTCGTATTTCAACACATATCCGATCATCGGCACATACCCGATCATCGGCACATACCCGGACTGCCGGCAAACAAATTTGTCCGGACGAAGAATCCGAACAATACGGTGAACGAGACCGTAAATCACGATTCCGGTCACAACATCAAAAAAAACTTTCCGAGAAAAAAACCAAGAGTCACGCATGTGACACCATGAGTGGTTCCCTGCATTCTTCAGTACACTTCGCTTTATAATGGAAGTACAACGCGAGTTGTAGGATCCCCAAAGCTGTTCCGATCCCATTCGGAACCTGAAAAACAAACAGGCGATGTTACCGCACAAAACCGACAACTTTTAAATCGAAAACAAGTCGTCTTCATCGTTGTCGATCGACGAGGCTTACGTAGATAAAGGCATCGAAGTTGAAGACGCCGTATAGGAAGAACGCGGTGCTCATCAAGAACGTCGAGAGGGAGAGATAGAACGGCATGAACTCGACACTCTTCGTTTGAATAACTAAATTCTGGGAACAAAGATCATGTCATTAGAAGCTTAAGGAATCTCGAAAACAATCGAAATTCGAATGTATGAAAGGCGCGTTTGATCGAACAACTCACGATTATGAACAATGGGGAAGCGAACATCGATATGAGAGAAGCACAACTTAATAAACCGACGAAGACCCATCGCGTGCCTCGGTCAGCTATTTGTAAGCTCCCGGCAACTATGATCGCCATAAGGCCAAAAACTGCAAGTAGCAATCCGAGCATCCTAATCTGCCCATCGACACGCAGAATGTGACTATCAGTTGTAATCATTCTAAACTAATGAGAAAAAGTTTCAATTAGATAATAACCCTTTTCTCTCTATTGGCATATACGATGAAGACGACAATGTAGGTTATTTGAAAAACCGAACCGATCGAATTAACCGTCATAACCGGCACGTTGTCGTAAGATACCAACGGCGTTCCATACCAGGTGCAGATCAAGCAGTTCAAGAGAGCATATATATAAGGCAACCCAGAAAAGCTCTCGGTGGACTGGTTTCTCACAATTCTTTTAAACGTGGGTCTGAAACGTTAAAAACAAAAAAAGCAGGGACTGGAACTAATTAGAGGATAATTCTTACCACTTGGATTAAAAGTACTTGGAAAGTAGAACATACATGGGGGACACGAACAGCCCGAAAGCAAAGATGTTCCCTGTAATAAACAATGACCGAGATCAGATTGAAGAATCGAAGGAACACCAGATGAATACTTGGACTAATGGGGTCACTTTCAATTAGGACTAAATAAATTGAATGTCCAATGAAATATTCGTGTAATGTTCATTTATTATATTAAATAATTACGTATGAACAAAACTTTTATATTTTTTCAATAAACGGATGAACACGAATATATGTGTTTTCGGTTCATTTATATTCACGAATAAATTTATTTATTGACTCGTATATAAGTTCATTTATCAACTTATTTATAAGCTCGTTTACCTGATTCCACTTTAACTTTAATTTTACATTTTATATATTTGTGAATGTAAAGACTAAATTGAATATAAAGTGAATTTTAAAATTCAAAATGTGAAGTCTAATGAACTTAAGGACAAGTGACATAATTTTACCATTTTTTATTTTATTTTTAAAGTAGTTCTGATTGCCTAGGGAATCAATCATTTAAACATATATTTTCTCACTAAAGTTAGATGAATATGCTGACCGATATATAAATAAATATTGGGTAAATCATGTGTTTAGTATTAAATTATTAGTTTCTGTTCGTTTTAATATATAAATTTTTAATTTTTTTAAAACTATATTTAATATTTAGGTTTTATTTTATTTTAATACTTTGTCTTTAAAAGTTTAACGCGTATAATACATAAACTATTAGTTTTAGTATATTTTAGTATTTGAACTTTTATTTTTTTTTCTAAAATTTAACGTTAAATTTTGAGCGAAGGTATTAAAATGAAATAAAAATCTAAACTTTACGTATGATTTTTAAAAAAATTAAAAGCTTAAGTATTAAAATGAACAAAAACTGATAGTTATGTACTAAATACATAATTTACCAAAAAAATCTTCAAAAATAAATAAATAATAAAGAAACCTCCTCTCGGTTAAATTCCGATTCATCTACATCCTACTTTCAACTCAATGAGGAAAGTGAAAATTTTTGTAATCAGATCAGCTCATCTTCAAGAATGGATTGATGGGTAATTTTGAATGCGATCAAACAAACAGGAAATCTCAACAAAAATTGTAATCAGATCAGTGTTCTAATGGAAATAAATCAGCCTCACAAGAACAAAAGAAGCAAAGACAGAAGGTTAATCATATTACCAGCGATGCCGGCTGCATCTCTGCAAATTGTGAAGGTGCCGTCCGGAATAGAGAGAAGCATGAACGATGAAATTTTCTTACAGACAGAAAGTTGATGGGAAAAAAACCCAGAAAATCAGACCTAAATTTCCGATCATAAGCCGAGTGATTTGCGTCGGGAGAAAATCAAGCTTCCCAGTCCTTTCACAGATATTTTTCCAGACAATTCTCTCGAAAGTATTTCCCTTTCGTTTTCGGGGAGTTTATGGTACGAAAGTTTGCAAAAATAAAATAATACAAAACAGTAAAGAAATACAAGGGCCACAAGTAATGCCAATCATGGCGTAAAGCACTTACCCTTTCATTTGATAAGTGCAGTTTATTAGTTAAAATAAGGGCATTATTAAATAAAAAACCCATTTATTAAAACCGAAAATTATACCTAAATTCTAGAATATTGCCAAAACTATTTTTCATCCATTCAAGTACTTAACATTACAAACGCTACCATTTAAATGTCTGAGCGATCAACGGCGTTAATTTTTTCGTTAAGTTACATGTGTTAAAATTTGGTGATTTTAAAATTTATTTTTTAAAAAATATATTATTATATTTATAAAAAAAATCATAATTTTTGTTAAATTATAAAAAACCCCAAAATACCTAAAATCTTTAAATCCCATCCTTCACTCGCCGCATCTCTTTCTGGCCACAACCACCGTTGCCGAAGTAGTCCCTTCAATCGTCCTAGTTATATGTCGTCGTAGTTGCCATCGATTGACCATCAAGATCGTGTGGGATCACAATGGTCATCTTAGGGTTCGTGGGATATAAAACATTGGTTCATCGTCGATTGGTCACGATTTCATGAGGGTTTTGGTCGACGGGGGAGATGAGGTCGGGAGGAGCTTATTTGACGGCAGAGGACGGTGGCCAGTGTGGTTTTAAAGGTTGAAATGAAGGTTTTTAAAGTTTTTGGGTTATTTTAAAAATGTTTATGATTTTCTTTAAAAAATATATAATTTTAAATAAATTTTTTAAAATCACCAGATTGTGACGAGTGTCACTTAACGGGAAAATTAACGTCGTTGACGGTCCGGGTACCTAAACGGGTAACGTTTGTAATGTTAGGCACCTGAATAGGTCAAAAAAAATTTAGGAACCTATTCGAGAATTTAAGTATAGTTTGGACACTTATTTTGGTATTAAACCTTATTATTTTATTGGAAAACAACCCTATACAACATTAATTGAAAAAATATCTCCCAAATTGCACACGTAAGATGACATTGCGTTCTACAAAACGCGAAATCTTTAAAATTTTCAGATAATTTCATTTAACTTTTGGATAAAAGGCACAATAAATACATGAAATTCGCTTTTTGCAAAACGCGAGGTCTGACCTCGCTTTCCACATAACGCGATGTCATCCTAAGTGAGTAGTTTGGATGTATTTTTTTCCAATTAATAAGAGTTTTTCCAATAAAATAATAAATCGAGGTTTTTCATTTAATAAAGCCAAATATAAGGGTAAACTACGTCGTACATCATTTTATTTGAGATAATATATCGTTTATATCATTAAACTTTTGATTAAGGATGGTCAAAATATCCGAACTTGACAAGTTCTGACCCAACCCGACTTTATAGGAGTTTTTTTTATTTCGAGGTTCAGAGCATGACGAGATGGGTTATATAGCATATACGTTCGTGGCGAGATCGAGTTTAAGGTGAAAAATCATCGATTCGATCTGATCTGATTAATTTTTTCTTTTTTATATATTATATATTATATTTTTTATTTTTTTATTTGTATAGTATCAAAATATACTATTTAATTATTAAAAAAATAAAAATATTATAAAATATATTTATTTAACCGTTTAAAATACAGTAAATAATCATAAATATATTAGTTTAATTATTTAAAATATGTATATATTTGGATCGAGTCGGGGTCAAATTTTGGTCTAAAAATCGAGAGACCTAAAATTCATCGTGATGGGATGGAGTTGGATTTTAGATATATATTTTCGTATCGGGATAGGAGAGGCCAAAAAACCGGCCCATCTCGCACCGTGTCCCTACTTTTGATTATTTTAATTATGATAGAGCACAAGATTTTTAACCTTGAGGTCGTGGGATCGAGTCCCACGGAGGGCATTTCATAATTCAGAGGTCTCTTACGGAAGCTGCTCTCAACCTAGTGTTGGGGTAGCCTACTATCTTACCTCCCCCTTACCCCATACATATGGGAAAAAGGGACAGCCATTTTTTTTTTGTCGTTAAAATTCAAACAAGTAATGATATGGGAAAAACGATATAGTTTTTGTGTGGTTATTGTTGTCTAAATGACATCGTTTTAGTCATTTAACTTTAGGAGTGTATCGATTTTACCATTAAACTTTTGAACGAATCAATTTTAGCATTGAAATCTTCTAGCCTCCACAGGTAGTGAATCATGGTTTGTCATCGATCCTCACTTGTGAGAAAATTCATAACAAATATTCACACTTCACTTCTCTTTCTTCTTATTAAATTGAATTTTCATAAAATTCACTCAAAATAAACGATTAAAAGTTGCGAACTTAATCACACCATTAAAAGAAAGGCACCTAATTGCATAAAAGAAAGAGTTGAGTGCTACATTACACATAAATACCAAAATCAGATATGAAAAATTATATATACCCTATTTTAATCTGTAATTGTCACTATTTTGCTTTCAACGCAAGTTACAGATCAAGTTGGATCGAATTTCGGTCAATGTCCGACCTAAAATTATATATTTTGTTCGATTTGAATAATATTAAAAATTTATATATTATCTATCTGTTTCGAATCTGATCCATTTTTTTGAGATGATATATTTTTAAAAACGTTAATTTTATTGAATAAAAAATAGAGATTTAACTAAAAAATAATATATAGAAGGTTTTATTGTAATTATCCCTAGGCATATAAGACAAAATTCTATTTTTTCCGAATTGTGTTGAGTTGAATATTTTTCATCTTAAATCCGAATCCGATCTGAATATTTCTCTAAAAAAGTGAACCTAACCCGACCTATTTTTTTAAGAAAAAGTTTGACACGATAAGATTGAGTCGTGTCAGAACCGATGGGGTTTAAGTCCGTACCCATATGCTATAAAAGGCTTTCAATTTTTTAGCAATGAAAGCTCAAATACATTGCAGTCTCCGAAGCTCGAATCTGAGACTCTAGAGATAACAACCATTCTTTTAACTACTGAGGTAACTTGATTTGTATTAAATTCAATCATTTTAACATTATATCTATTGATAATTTTATATTAATATTTCTAATTATTTATTTGATATGAGCATTTTAATTCCTAGATATAAAATTATTTAGATTATGACAATATAATAAACATATTTATTTTTAAAAAAATAAATAAATATACAAACAAAAATTTAAATAACATAATTTATTATTGATTACTCTATTAGTATTATGTGTTGGATTCATTAATTAACACTGATGAGTTAAAGTTTCAACCTAAAAAATTTGATCCGACTCGTATAATTATATTAATTATTAAATATTTTTTAATCGAAATAAATTATACAATTATATAAATATTAAAATATTTAACAACTTACTATTTTTAAATAGTGAAAAATTTAAAATATACTTTCATTTCAAATTGATTCTCAAATTTTCGAATGTGCTAATTTCATTCTCAAATTATAATTCTTATTTTAAAATAATCCTCCAAATTTAAAATATTTCAATTTCATCCTTAAAATATCGATATATGCTAATCACATGTTCTGTGAATAAACCATTTAAAAAATATTTACATAATACCGATAAACATTTATATGAAAAATAATAATTTTATAACAATTTTATTAACATGAGACATAATTAACATATATCGATGGTATGGATAACACTTTTGAATAAGAGTCGTAATTTTAGGATTAAATTAAAATATTCAAAAGTTTAAGGATTAATTTAGAATAAGAGTTATAATTTAAGGATGAAACTAGAACACGTAAAATATTTGGGAACCAATTTAGAACGAGGGTTATAGTAAGAGTGTGTGTGGTGCAATTAATTGCCGAGGATAGGGTATTATTGTCATTTCGCTTATTTCATGGCTCCCCTTACCTGTCTCTCTCGTCTATAATATATACGCATATAAATAGAGTCTTCCCAGTTTCCCTGTCCGTCCATGCTTCGTCCTTTACCCCAAATTTCTCTCTTTTATCTTTTATATCTGGAATTTTGTTCGCGATTGTTAATTCTGGATTCTCGTTGATTTCTCTTCAACTCGTAAGTTCAACTTTTCTCATTTTTCAGTGTTATTTGTTGGAAGATCGATGGTGATCCTTGATCGTGTTTGTTAGCTAATTTGATGATTTTAGATTAATTGAGATCATTTTTTGATCTGGGTATTTCTCGGTTTTCTAAGATCTGTTCTTAAATGTGAGCAAAATTCCAAGTCCGTGGATTAGATTGCTTTTTTACCTGTTGCTTATTTGCTTGTTAATTGGATCTGGATCTCTTTCCCTTGTTTTATATATATATGTTGGAATTGGATCTGATAACGAAGATGGTTTCATAAGCTTTTGGGTCGTTTTCTTCTTCTTTGTTCCTTGAACTTTGATTGCAGACATTGAATTGAAAGAGATGCTGAAATAAATTCAGACCAAAACAAATTTAATATATATTTACACACTTATTCATGTATGTATGTATGTATGTATGTGTATTGTAATGTGATTTGATTGCACTGATGATCTTAGCCACCTATGCTCTTTGTTGATCCGTTTTTAATGTTGATTTTGCTTACACTGTTTTTCAGGTGCTTCCTTTACCTGGTTTTGGATTTGCACATGTATCATTTTTTTATGTTTAATCGTAGTTTCTGGGTTTATGTTTCTGTGTATTTGTTTATGCAAGTTGGTGTTGATTCTTATTATATTTTTCCATAGTTCTGAAATTAGGTTGTATATTTCTTTCTTTTTTGTAGAATTAAATATGGCATCTTATACGCCCAAGAATATCCTGATAACTGGGGCTGCTGGGTTTATTGCATCTCATGTTGCCAATCGGCTCGTTCGTAACCACCCGGACTACAAGATTGTTGTACTTGATAAGCTTGATTACTGCTCGAACCTTAAAAATCTAATTCCTTCGAAGACGTCCCCGAACTTTAAGTTTGTCAAGGGGGACATTGAAAGCGCTGATCTTGTTAACTATCTGCTTATCACCGAGTCTATTGACACCATAATGCACTTTGCGGCTCAAACTCATGTTGATAATTCATTTGGGAACAGTTTTGAGTTTACGAAGAACAATATTTATGGCACTCACGTCCTGCTTGAAGCCTGCAAAGTCACTGGTCAGATCAGGAGGTTCATTCATGTCAGCACCGATGAGGTTTACGGGGAGACAGACGAGGATGCTGTTGTTGGAAACCACGAGGCTTCCCAACTTCTCCCGACAAATCCGTATTCGGCAACAAAAGCCGGTGCTGAGATGCTTGTAATGGCATATGGCAGGTCATATGGATTACCAGTTATTACGACCCGTGGAAACAATGTTTATGGTCCCAAACAGTTCCCGGAAAAATTAATTCCCAAGTTTATCCTATTGGCAATGAGGGGGAAGGTCCTTCCAATTCATGGGGATGGTTCTAATGTGAGGAGTTATTTATACTGTGAGGATGTTGCTGAGGCATTTGAGGTCATTCTTCACAAGGGCGAAGTTGGCCATATTTATAATATTGGCACGAAGAAGGAAAGAAGAGTGATTGATGTAGCCACCGACATATGCAAACTTTTCTCGATGGATCCTGAGACAAGCATCAAGTTTGTTGAAAACAGACCATTCAATGACCAGAGGTATTTTCTTGATGATCAGAGATTGACAAAATTGGGATGGTGTGAGCGAACTGTATGGGAAGACGGATTGAAAAAGACCATAGAATGGTACACCCAAAACCCTGATTGGTGGGGTGATGTGAGTGGTGCGCTGCTACCGCACCCGAGAATGTTGGTGATGCCCGGTGGTAGACACTTTGATTCTGAGGAAGTAAAAGAGACATCATATGTAAGTGGTCCTAATCAGACCCAAATGGTGGTTCCAAGCCCCAAGGGCGGTAGCTCTTCCCAGAAGCATTCCTTGAAGTTCTTGATCTATGGCAGGACTGGCTGGATAGGGGGTTTACTCGGTCAGTTATGTGAGAAACAAGGTATTGCCTTCGAGTATGGAAGAGGACGCTTGGAAGATCGCTCATCGCTCAAGGCAGATATCCGAAATATAAGCCGACCCATGTTTTTAATGCTGCCGGTATTACCGGTAGACCTAATGTTGATTGGTGTGAATCTCACAAAACAGAAACAATTCGCACCAATGTTGCTGGTACTTTAACCTTGGCAGATGTTAGCAGAGAGCATGGGCTGTTGATGATGAATTTTGCTACCGGGTGCATATTCGAGTACAATGCTGCACATCCGCAGGGCTCTGGCATTGGGTTTAAAGAGGAAGACGAACCCAATTTCACCGGTTCCTTTTACTCGAAAACCAAAGCTATGGTAACTACATCGAACATCCGTCATTAGATTCCGGTTTTGCTCGTTAATTTATGTCTTGAGTGTGCTCACAATCTATCTCCAATCTTTTCCAGGTTGAAGAGCTGTTGAAAGAGTATGACAATGTTTGCACCCTCAGAGTCAGAATGCCGATCTCATCCGATCTAAACAATCCCCGTAACTTCATCACCAAGATTTCACGATACAACAAGGTGGTTAACATTCCCAACAGCATGACGATCTTGGATGAACTATTACCGATATCCATCGAGATGGCAAAGAGGAACTTGAAAGGCATATGGAACTTCACAAATCCTGGAGTCGTGAGCCACAACGAGATCCTGGAGATGTACAAGACTTACATCGACCCCGAGTTTAAGTGGGTGAACTTCACGTTGGAAGAACAAGCCAAGGTGATCGTCGCACCGCGAAGCAATAACGAGTTGGATGCATCCAAGTTGAAGAAGGAGTTCCCCGAGTTGCTATCAATCAAAGAATCACTGATTAAGTACGTCTTTGAACCCAGCAAGAGAACCTGAGCATATTAAGCTTCCCTCATTGTCACTGTCTTCCACCACATTAATTTTACTCAAAACTATATAAGACATATGTGTTGCTTGGAAATATGATTGTCCTAGAAAAAACTGAACACTTTGTGTCTGATACGTACTCGTTCCGACGTGCATGCTCGAGTTCGAGTAACACAAGTATTTAGGGTTTTCTTCCTTCACCCTTTTTAGCTGCAACAGAACTGTATCCTAATTTGTTTGAGAAGAACTTGCTATAGTTACTTGGCGAATTTTGTTATCTGCATGCATGCATGCATGCAGGTGTATTATTTTTGTATTTCATTAGTTGAATTCATATCATATTTTTATTTTATTTAACATCGATTTTTCTTATATTCCAATAATGAATCATCTTCAATGCACCTACCACATTCGTATGGATGTTTTTAACATTGTTAGCTGTCTCTTCAATCATCCTTCTAAAACCGGGGGTAGATTACACATATGTTCTCTGAATATATGATATTGCTTTATTAAGTCCTCGGAGTATTAAAAGTTATAAAATTGTCCCCAACTATAAGATGTTTTGTTGATTAAAAGTTATAAAATTATCACCCGATTACTCATATGTTTCAAACTAGTATTTTTTCGTTAAAAATTTGGCGGTCGTTTGAGCTGGATATTAACCTGTTGACCGAGATACCATAAAATCTGATCCTATAACTATTTGAGTTGTATTTTGTGTAACGACTCTCCGTTCATATTAGGTCGTTGAGCCAATGCTTGAAATATTATGTCGTCGAGCTAATGCTTGAAAGCAACGACAACACCATTAGACATTATTAAAATATATCTTTATCTATCCCGGTTAACAAGTTGATGTCCATCAGTCAATTTTTTAATGAAAAATGACAAGGTTGAAACATGTAAATAGTCGGGTGATTATTATGTAACTTTTAATAGTCGTGGACTCAACAAAATAACATTCTATAATTAGAAAATCATTTTAAACTTTTAATATCAGATAACTCAACAAAATAACGTTTTATAATCGGGATCATATATGTTTTTCATGGATTCGAGTCATTTTCTTTAACTCGATCTTTGCATGGTTTAATACATTCCTTCATGTGATAATGATATACTATTTGGCTATATATCTTTTGACATTTACCATGAGAAGTATATAATTGGAAAAGATCTGTATTCAATTATCTGAATGCGTCCATTGATAACTAATTTAGAAGTCAAAGAGAATTCATCAAGTCATTTTAGAGATTTTTCTTAAAGGATTTAAGTTCACATAGCTACGTTTGTATATATGCATTGTCAATGACTAATAATCTATTTACTAAGCGTTATTTAAGATGTGGAATCTCATTTATAAAGAATAATTGATAAATATGATGAATGGATTTAAGTAATCTCCTTGTTTAGATAAAATTAAGAAGCTAAAAAAACCTAACTTCTAACTCTCATTATCGAAAAAAAAATCACGAATTAAACGACCTTGATGATTATAGGGATAATTATTTCTAGAGGTATTGAGTTCGAGACTAAAGACTACGAGATATTTAAACGTTTATTGTAAGTGATTTAGGGTTTTTAGAATAGATACTACCGCTTATTGTCAATATTAGATGTGGGATTTTTTGCGCCATTTTCATAATGTATGGGTTTAGTTTGCTCATTTTTCATCAAAAGAGACTAAAATACAATATGATATATTGTAGAGGGACTTGTATACCACTTTTACCCAAAGTCTAGGGGTTTGTTCCCCAAAACAAACTAGCGTCTCTTTGCGATTGACCCACCCAACTCTCATTCGGATTTCGACCCAAATTCTCCTCCATAATCCAAAGTCCAAACTCCGATCCACTCTCTCCGTCTCTCCTCCTGGTTCTTTTGTCTTTTATAAACAGAATCCAAACCCTAAAACCTTCTCGGATCATCCGATTGGACCAGCCTGTGGAGCCAAACTTTGGTTTTCTGGGTATAATTTCCTTTCACTTTCCTGCATGTCTTTTATTTGATTGAATTTGATCGAATCCCTTTGTTATTTGGCAGAATAAACATTTTTTATTGATAGGTTTTCTTTTTAATATTAAAACCTTTATCTTTTGAGAATTATTTATCTGAATTGAATACGAATTTGCTGCTTTTTAGCTTTAACTTTTGTTGGGATTTTGTTATATTTGCGTTTCATTCGTTAGAAGATTTTTTTGAGGGATTCAATTGAAAAATGGGCTTTCTTAGAATTGTTTTTGTTCAGTCGACTTTGATTTTGGTGGATTTATTACTATAATTTAAATAATTTTCTTGGCTTCTTTTATTTCTGGAACTTGACTAAAAGTTTGGCTTTTTAATCTTTGCTTTGCTAATTGTTTCTTTTATCTTTAGTTGTTGGATTTTTGTGTGTGTTTTATATATATATATTTATCAATGATCATGTGTTCTTATAAAGTTCTAGATAAATACAATTTCAAAAAAAAAAAAGGGCGAATTGCATTTTTCATTGAATAAGAACCTATAGATTACATTGACAACATTCTTATTTGGAAAATAATATTTCTCCAAGTAATTGCAAAGGTAGCTAAAGAAGTTTAAGTTCAGTCGGTACGCTTTCGTGAACTCTATATGAGCTACTCCTTTCGGTTGCTGCTATTAGCCTAGGAGGCTAATTGAGAAGGAATTAGGATAAGTTTAAAACATGTACTTCTAGTTGGCTCGGAGCCTATTCTAATTTATGGCTTTGAGCTATTGAAAACAAAGAACTATTTGTTACTACATATTAGAACAAATTTTCAGCCTTACAGTGTCATTCTATTGACGGAGTTGCAAGGGATATATTTTGTGAAATTATTTTCTTTTGATAACAGATTTAGGATAAAAGTCGAGATAAAGAAATCGTCACGTGTAATTTCTCTCGAATTGTGTGTGCATGCGCGGTTGGAGGTGATTTGGGGAGAAATGAAAGTAAATAATATAATTCTTTTATGACTTTTCCAATATGCCATTTGTTTCTCAATGAATTATGTTTCAGAAACTTCTTATTGTATTGAACTCATGGCTTCCCCGTTTATCTGTTGTTTGCAATCCAAACAGTGTGATATTGAATTTACTTCATGTAACTTTATCCTGCGGTTTTGATTTGTTTCCACTCTCCCATGGTTGTCGGTATTTTTTCTGCACTCCGACTTATCCTAGTTGTAAGGGTACACTGATTTGCATATTGTAGCACTGGGGAATAGAATTGCATTTTTGTACCATGCTGCTTGTGCTTTTTCACCAACTTATCATCGATACTTAATTACGATTGCATTTTAGGATAATTGATTAGTTAAAGGTTCTTTTGGTGCATGTTTGATGTTTGACGTCCTGAAGTTATGTTGTGAATTAATCGGTAGTTTATTCGAAAGGCAACTATTTTGACATATGGCTTTACTTTTAATATCCAGACTTTGGTTCGTTTGAAGCCTATGCGATGGAAGTGGCTAATGAATCCTCTGCTAAGAAACCAAAGAGATTGACTTCTGTTGTATGGAACCACTTTGAAAGGGTCAAGAAAGCCGACATATGTTATGCGGTATGTGTTCATTGTAACAAGAAATTAAGCGGATCGAGTAATAGTGGAACCACCCATCTGAGGAATCACTTAATGCGGTGCTTGAAAAGATCAAACTATGATGTTTCCCAACTGCTTGCAGTGAAGAGGAGGAAAAAAGAAAATACCCTTACCATTGCGAATATCGCTTATGATGAAGGGCAAAGAAAGGACGATTATATGAAGTCCACTATTGTCAAGTATGAACAGGACCAAATAAAGGATGAAGCTTTCAATGTGGGAAGCAGTTGGTTCGACCCTGAGAGAAGTCGGTTAGATCTTGCCCGCATGATTATAATACATGGCTACCCGTTAGCCATGGTTGAACATGTTGGATTCAAGGTGTTTGTCAAGAATCTGCAGCCGTTGTTTGATGTTGTGCAAAATAGCAGCATTGAGCTGTCTTGTGTGGAAATTTATATGAAGGAGAAGCAGAGAATTTATGATATGTTAAGTAAATTGCAAGGCAGAATTAACCTCGCCGTTGCGATGTGGTCTTCACCCGATAATTCTAAATACGTATGCTTGACTGCACATTACGTTGACGATGATTGGAAACTACAAAAGAAGACTCTTAATTTCTTAACACTTGATTCTTCTCATTCCGAAGACATGCTTTCCGAAGTAATTATCAAGTGTCTACTGGATTGGGACATAGACTATAAGCTGTTTGCCATGACTTTTGATGATTGTTCGATAATGATGACATTGTCCCGAGAATAAAAGATCGTATTTCTGAAAACAGGCCGCGTTTAAGCAATGGTCAACTGTTAGATGTGCGCTCAGCCGCACATATTCTGAATTCAATTGCTCAAGAAGCCATTGAAGCTCTCCATGTAGTCATCCAAAAGATTCGAGGAAGTTTTAGATATGTTAAAAGTTCACAACCAATACTAGTGAAGTTCAATGAGGTTGCCCAGCAACACGGAATCAAGAACCACAAGAGCTTAGTTCTCGACTATCCTATACGATGGAATTCAACATACATGATGCTCGAGACTGCTGTAGAGTACAGGAATGTGTTCCATCGCTTGCCAGATCTTGATCCTGACCTTGCTTTAAGTGATGAAGAGTGGGAACGGGCAAGTTCGATTACTGGCTATTTGAAAATGTTGGTTGAAATCATTAATGTATTTTCCGGCAACAAATGTCCCACTGCAAATATATATTTCCCTGAAATTTGTCATGTCCACATTCAATTGATTGAATGGTGCAAGAGCGCTGATGATTTTCTTTGTTCATTGGCAACAAAGATGAAAGCCGAGTTCGATAAATATTGGAGCAAGTGCAGCCTAGCTTTGGCTGTAGCAGTGATCTTAGATCCTCGATTCAAGATGAAGTTGGTTGAGTATTACTATTCCCAAATTTACGGCAGTACCGCTTTGGAACGAATCAAAGAAGCATCTGATGGTATCAAGGAACTCTTTAATGCGTACTCTATCTGCCCGACTTTGGCCGATCAGGATTCAGCTTCACCTGGCTGTAGCTTACCTAGCAGTAGTAATAATACTAGAGATAGACTAAAGGGTTTCGACAAATTTGTCCACGAGACATCTCAGAGCCAAAGTTCAATATCGGACTTGGAAAAATATTTAGACGAGCCCGTATTTCCTCGTAACTGTGATTTCAGCATCTTGAATTGGTGGAGGGTTCACACACCGAGATATCCAATCCTGTCGATGATGGCACGTGATGTTCTAGGAACTCCTATGTCAACTGTTGCACAGGAGTTCGTGTTCAATGCCGGAGGCCGGATGCTTGATAGCAGTCGATGTTCACTGAATCCTGATACTCAACAGGCTTTGATATGTGCACGAGATTGGTTACGGACGCAATCTAATGGTACGTGCATCATCGTTATCCCTTCTAACAATCATTTCAAAATCACAATCTCTTAACAATACACTACTGATATAAAAGTAATAGATGCGACGCCATTACCGGGCCATTGCGCTCTACCCCTTTACGCTGAAGCAAATTGATCCAGCCTTTTGCCTGCATGGTAAGCCTCTGTTGTAAATTCTTACCCTATTTGCTGGTTTTTGTAAGTGCCCTTATTTTTTCTGGGTGTCTCATGCAAGGTACATGGATCCTTTCTTAAGCTGATAAGATTGCATTGAAGCACTTGAGCTTTGGGTGTTGATCAGATTCTATTTGATAATGGTGTTTCAATGTGGCTTATAACCGTGCCTCAATTCAAGGCAACTCTTTGTTATTGGTTGATGTAGTTATTTAAATTTAAGTTTATAGTTCAAAGATATATGTTGTTCGAACTCGGATTCGGATAATAAAATGCACTTTTATGTTATTTCCAGGGCATGCAAAGACTGTTTATTATTACTGTTGCAAACCCTAAATAGACACATGTTCATGTTGCGAGTATTATAAAATTATACGCAATTGATGTGTAAGTATACACAATCACGAAAGTAATATAATGATGAGTAAGTATTATCCTCAAGGATTGGTGGAGTTTATGAATTTGGTCATAGCAATACACTAATTTATGCAAGTATAATGATGACATTTACACTGATGATGCCTAGGCAAGGAATTGTGAATGTGGGGTAGAATGATGGTGAGAAAATATGGATGAGTGAACAAATGTGATGTCGTGGCAATATAAATGTTTATAGTCTAAATAGGTGAAAATGTCAAGACAACGCATAATGGTAAAAAACAAATAAATGAAATAACTTGATAATTCTCACACGGGAAGCTTCTATGGGAATGAATGGTGGGGAGTCACTTAGGAAGTTTTAAACTTAAGTTGATATAGTCTTTTAGTGCCTTACTTGTTCGACGGAGTTTACTAAAGATGTTCTATGTTATCTCTAGTCTAAGAACATAACAGAATAGGATGCCACGACATCTCCTCTCGGCCTGAGCAGTTACACACTAAACCATTGATTACGCTTAACCCTTCTTAGTCGTTGAAATCTTAGCTTAGTTTATCCCGAATACTAAGGGATTAGGTTCTAGTAATTAACTGCAACCCATTGCTTATGCTTATCTTACTCTAGTTTCTCTCAAATACTAAAGAATTAGTGACTACGTTTCTCTCGAACACCTAGTCTTGTACTTAAGAAATTGACATTCTCATATCTCCTACAATCTTAAGAGATTAAGAACTCATAAGCAAATAAGAAATAAGCAAAAGAAAAACATTAATCAACCATTCAAAACAAAGTTTAAAGCATCCATAAATGAACTCCACCAAATATAGTCTAGTTCATGGTGAGGTTCGAATAAACCATAAAAAAGCCCAATTTGTTCATTCGTTCCTTACAACCCAATCGAAGATCAATCATAAAATGGAGCAAATGTTGGAGAAGAAAGCACTAAATGTGCACGGCTGACACTTCTTCAAACCACCACGAACGACCACAGTACCTTGCCCCTCTTGGGTGCAAGGGCCACTCCCTCGAGCTTCACCAATGGAGGAACACCACTAAAAACAGATGTGAAAAAAGAAAAAGGAGGAAGTTAAGCTCGTCAATAGAGGAAGAGAGAGTTGGATAAGATGATGAATTAGATATATCCAAAATGGTGTCCTTTTCTTTATAAATCTAAGGAATGTACTTAGGGATTTTTTTCAAAATTCCCATCATACCCCAAGTACAATCCAAATGCGTGAAGATTGATTCCATAGGTGGCAGTGGGTCCCATTTAGGTGGTTACCAGCACAAAACACGTGCTAATAACAACTGTCATTTGTGAAAATATATTTTTGTCATTTTCTGCACCAGAAATGCCAGGGCATTGCAGTTTGCTTCAGTAACTTGTGATGCCGCGACATTCTTCTCTACTCGCCTTATGCTTCTTGTTTCTTGCACATCACCAAAAGCCACACCTTTCCCATCTTATAGCACCTTCACAAAGTAAAATGCAATGACAAAACACAACCACCAAAATGCAACTATATGAAACTGCATGCACCTAAAATGACCTATATGAGCATTTAGACAATCAATAACTAAATTGAAAAAGGCCTTAAAAGTAGCATTTTTACGGAGTTATCAACTCACAGGGAAGAGATGAAACCAATGACTGTAGAGGGCAACCCCTCAAGGAAGAATGATTTATCTTAGCTGGAACACCCGAGGGATGGCCAGCGGGTCGATCTTAGGTTGCTCATATCGAAAATGAATAAATAAATAAATAAATGTAAACCTCTTTATCAATTGTAAACAATGGAAGGAACATATTTCAAAAGCATTTTGTAAGCCCAGCGACCTCGATAGATAAGGAATTGTTGTTATTCAGTCATGGTTTGAGTATCAGGAACGTCAGGAGTGTGAGCGTTCAATGTCAAATGGTTGAGAGTTATCTTTGAACAGATATTGCCCCGTATTTACTTCAAACTAATAAAAAATGATTTTTTTTTCAATGGTATTATAGAATATCCTTAGAATCCATGTATCATAGGATTATATATCTCACAAGTCTCACATTACACGATTTATCAATTTTCTTGTTAGTGATAATAATGATAATTTATTTATGGGTAAAGTACATAAATGGTCCCAAACTATAGGATATTGCTTTGTTGAGTTCCTTAATTATTAAAAGTTACAAAATGATCACTTAATAAGCAATATGAGTTCTCAACTATTAAAAATTATAAAATGACCACTTAGACTTTGCAGATGACACAATTAAGCTAATGGAGAAAGGGAAAAAACCATCCATGTTTTAGGGAAGTAATTAAACGCTTTTGAAATTAAGAAGAATTATAATTTTATATAGAGTAAATTACAAAATTCATCACCGAACTTTCTTCTCAAATTGCTTTGGGTCACTATAGTTTAAAAAATTATTTTATTCATTTAACTTTTGATTCTTATTACATGACATTTTCTTCTAAAAATTATAAAATGGACTCAAACTTTCTTCATTTTTGTTAAAAAACCTATAGTTCGAATTACATTTGAGTTCTCGATGAAAAAACATCTTCTTTCAAATCCCAATGATGGAGAGATGGAAGAGGAGGAAACGAGTTGTATACCTTATTTTCACGCTGATCGAATGGTGAGTATCATAGATCATTGTGATTTAAGGTTTTACGGGAACTAAAGATTTGATACACGATGTCCTGTAGACTGATGCAATTTAAACCACCATCATCAACATTTTATTTTAAGTCACAGAAAACTTTTGTTCAGGTGAATATTGTGTTTATGTTCAAAGTAGTTACTGCTTGAACATCTTATTTGAACGCTCGTACTTTTGCATACGTGGGGCTTGAATTCGGGATATAAAAAATATCTTTAGATTCTTCCAATAGATACTTCCAAATATTAAATAATACAAATATCTAGATTATTTTATGGATATTTCTACACATTCACTTCTTCTATATTAATCTAGAATATTCTTAAGATATATCTCCTAAATGATAATTATATATTTATTTAGAAGTTTCATCAGATTTCAACATTTTACGATCTCAAAATCATAAACCATGGTTTAAAGAAGAAGAAAAAAAGACAATTAGAGATGATTGATTTTATCAACATGAAGTGATAATTCCGTATTTTTAGAGCCAATTAAACTACCTTTAGTAATAACCACCACTAAATGTTATTTGGCAAACAAAAATAACAAATCGATGACTAAAGAAAGACGATGACAATTCAAAACCATGCGACACCATTGGTTTGTTAGCTGATAAAACGGTATATTTAGATGGAAAAGATGAATATTATACATATATATAAATAGCTCTATGCATCAACATTCAAGTATTGCAAATAAAATAAATAAATAATTTGGTATCCTTATTTCCTCCAAGTAAGGATCCAATGGAGTTTCATGTTATAATCTTTACTAGTTATCTTCTGCTTGCGCATGCAGTTGGAGTTAATGGGTTCCCGATGGATGATTTGATAAGTAAATTACCGGGTCAACCCGATGTTCATTTCAGACAATTTTCTGGGTATATTGATGTGGATGATGGTGGTTTCGGTCCAAGTCTTTTTATTACTTTGTTGAAGCTGAAAAAGATCCCATGAATCAACCCCTCACTATTTGGGTGACCGGAGGTTAGTTTTCTTTTTTGCATATATACATAGATGATTACTTTATCTCTTAACGTTTCATTTTTATCAAAACGATCCCTATTGAATGGAAACCGTTAGTCTACTAACGACCATCACATGTTGTTGATGTGATAATGTTACGTCAGCAATATATATTGACCGTTAGTCAACAAACTATTTTCATCCAACCTGATCTGTTTTGACAAAAAATAAAACATTACGATAAAATAATCTGAATAAAGAACAAAATAACCATTCATGGTACTGTAATTATGCCATTATCCCAATATTAAAAGAATCACACCGCTTCATACACATAGTTAATCATATGTCAAATTGTACATTTTCCGGGATGAGATCACATTATTACCTTATATGTTCGAACATATTTAATGCATCCCACAAGTATAATTTAGTATTAAGATATAATAAAGTATTTTATGTAATAATATTCAGGACCCGGGTGCTCTTCGGTTGGAGATGGGTTTTCTAGTGTTGGTCCTTTTGTTACAACAAAAAATGCTCGTGCCCTCGAGAAGAATCTGTTCTCTTGGAACAAAGGTTGTCTAATCTAGTTTTATTTTCTTACCCTTTTTTATACTGATTTGTGCATATATATATCCTTTCTCTCTCTTATTTTATTCATATTAGTGTATATAAATATAGGGAAAAAAGAGAGATTAAAATGACATGATGAATGTAGTTTTAATCGAATGTATCATATGATGCTCATTATATGATTTTGTTGCAGTGTCAAATCTGTTGTTCATCGACTCTCCTATTGGATGTGGATGGTCATATTCAAATACGAGTAGCGATTATAATAACGGAGATGACAGTACTAGTAAGATCCAATATATATTCCTCGTGATTTTTTGATTTAAATATTCATATATTATGAGAATTTCCATTGGTTTGTATATTACAGCAAAAATATTGGTTAGCTTCATGCAAAAATGGTACGGAAAATACCCAGAATTCAAGGCGAGAGATGTGTTTCTAGCTGGATCAAGCTATGCAGGACATTTCGTACCTAATCTTGCTAATGCTTTACTTGATCACAACAAGCAATCCAAGGACTTCAAATTCAATGTCAAAGGATTGGCTGTAAGTACAATTCATAGTTGCTCGGCAAGATGATTTTATTATAAAACGAATAATTCTTATTTAGATTGTATGCCTCGTTAAAAACCTTCCCGTTCTGAACAGTTGGGGAACCCTTTGCTTCGTAAAAAGCTAGACGCATTAGCAATGTACGATTACTTTC